ACACACATTGAGATTTTCGTAGAGAAACAAAATGTTCCTATATTTTTAGTTCAGTTATAATTGAATACTTATATAATGACACGGTCTGTACACGGGTCTGGGTGCAGCTCTCTGAATGCACTTAGCAAGTGGAATTCGTTGTACACGGTCAAAACAAATTAACAAATGTGTTTGCCGACCGGACATTCTCCAACGCGGGAGGCACTGTCACGTGAACTAGCGGTATAGAAGTTAGCGGCGAATATCGCTTGGCGGGATTCGATAACGAATGAAATCTTCGTGCTGATGCTCATTTGTCCACCCATGCAGTTGCGCTCGCAAGCCTCGACTATGCGAGTTGTCTCTCTCGCCAGGCCAGAGGCGCCTCTTTCTACAGGCCAGAGGCGCGACGCGAAATAAGATGAAAATTAATTGTTCAAGCAATCAATGGCAAAATACCTTTCTGACTTCAGGGAGTGAAGGGAGGAATGACTTCTATACATGGGAGTGACACGCATTCTACAGCAAGCGTTTATGTGTAGAACGCGAGGTAGAAGACACAGAGGCAGATCGTTATAGAAATGAAATTGGTAGAAGTCAGAACAGGTCATGAACCCGTCCTTGGAGTAGAAGAGGAGAAGATGATCGTAAGGGTGTCAACTCTGTTATTTGTTATTACGAGCATAACTGCGTCATCGCAGGCCCATAAGCTAAAAAAGTTATTTTTTAATTGCTGAATTATTTGCAGAGCTAAAAATTAATCTTAGACGTAGCACCGCTTTAACCTCTGGGCCTGGCCTGGCCGTGCCACCGCGGTGACAGAGGGCCCACAACGCGCGGGTGGGTGACGCAATGGCGCAGAAGAGGAAGTGGGGGGGGGCGAGGTGATTTTTTTTTAATTTCACTTAACGACGCTGCTATTCGTCCGATTTGCATAATTGTCAGGGCGTTGGATTCAGGAAGCATGTCGCCATTGCGCTATAAGGCCACATTTTTAAATTTGTAATCGGAAGTTTGAGAACTAATTTCAAATTCGCGTTTTTGTTAGATTTTTGGATAAAGGTCATCGTAGCGTAAATTCTATTTTAAAAAGGCGTCAAATGTCGTTTATAGATCGAAAATCGAACCATTGATTCAGACGTTATCGGTAAAGTAATTTTACTTATTTTGGTGCTGCCACGTGGTGGCTACATATTGTACTAGTGTCGGGACATTTAGCCTTAACGTAAGTTCTGCTCTCACTCGCGCCGGCTCTAAGGGCTTGGCCTACAGTCTCAATGCTCTCTACCGATCGACTGCGAGTTTATTTCAGTCCAAAACAGAAATGTTGCACCCGAAAACGACATAATTTCCCCGAAATTCCAGTGTTAGTGATTTGAAACCTTACAAGCAGCACGCTCAAAACCACCTACATACATTGCGGATAGTCTTGGGTATTATAGATGACCTTGACTCCAGCTGATTTCGGGTGAATGGGACCGGAAAAATCGAACGAAATAGAACTTCGCCCAACAGCCGTTCCGAGCTCAATAGGCTCCATTTCCATTCACTAACATGTTTAAACGAATCTGCCATATCGAACTCCAACGCCAGGACATCATCCCGCCGATTGTTTTCAGCCTGATACATGCAATACAAGCACATTTCTTGGCAATCTAAGATATTTTCATAAGAGTATCGCGATTATAGATTTGGTTTGGGGGCACTCACACCCTTTAGCTATATCCTTTGCAACCAAATAGCTGAAACCGTAAATTATACTAATGAATGTGACAATAGGGGGACTATTTGGAAAAGATTAAGTTCAGGATTTGACAATTTCAATATTAAAGGTTTTCTAAATCCTTTGGCTTTGTTAAAGAAAATAGTAGTAAGGTATTTAGTCTGTAGTAAATTACACAGGAATTTAATTAAAAAATATAAGTCATATGAATGTTGCCTGGAATATTATCAGAGTTTGAACGTAACAATTAAAATATTAAGATTTTTAGTTTTGTTGTAGTATTAATGGTTGATGCGACTAAAAATTGATTTCATTGACCTTCAAATTGTTTCAGGGAAGCATCTGCAGCAGTAGCTTCAAATCAGGACCAACATTTTCTGTAATATAGCTTAATTATAAAAGTAACGGTTGTAACTAAGGAATTATTTTACGTTGTGAAAAGTATGTTCAAGAAGCCAAACTAAATTGGTTAATTTTAAAAATATTTCGGGAAAAATTAACTTCTTTCAGATTTTACGTTTTAAGTGAGTTGCATTTCACGTTAATTGCAAGTAACTAATTTCATGTACCTGATGTCATGTTTATGATTTTTATAAATTTGATAGAATAGATTTAAATAAGTAATTCATCAGGAATAAATTTTATTAATTTATTACACAAAATAAATCTTCATGTAATTTTTATCGTATCAGTGCAAGTAACAAGAAAGTTTAAGGTTTATTTTTTTGTGTAAAATAAATTTTAAAAAATCTGATGCGAGAAATACCCTCTGAGACCATTAATAAATTGTCTTGAACAATTTGGAGCAAATGCCGCATTTTACTTTCCTCACTATAATACCATGGTGTTCCCACTTCATCTTCAAAAATAATATAAAACTTTATTAACCTATTTTCTATAGTTGTGAAAGAAACTACCCCTTACATCACTTGAAACTACTGTATTAAAAAAAACTATTGCATTGATCTATGTTGTTGAACCAGTTTTAAATTTCAATGGAAAAAAGATAAACTGGATTTAAATATAAAGTTTAACGATACACTCTGTTCAAAATCTACAAACACTGAATAAACCATAAAATGAAGCTGTAAATGGATACTAATGAGAATATAACATATTCCTGTTGTCCAGTGGAGCGCGTGGGCATTGAGACGCGCCACACGCATGCAAGATCGGAACAGAGATGAGACATTTTTATTCCTCTAAATAAGAGGGAGTAAGGACATCGGTCTTTTTCGTGTTGGCTGACTAGAATTACGCATCGGATAACGTAACAATTTAATGGAATAAAAATATTTCTTGTTAGATCAATGACTCACAAATGAATGGGTGCAAATCATAACAGTAAAAGTGACATTTTATGACTTTCGAGAAAATGTGTTTATTTTAGACTATTTTTCAGTGGGAATGTATATTCCTGCTTTTAATGAACAATTGAAATACCGTGTTTTTGATGATGAAAAGCACCTTTTTAGTGATCTTCACTACTTTAGGCTGACTTCTCTGCCTTTATAAAATGTCACTTATACTATTCTGGTTTTCACCAATTCCAATTAAAACTTAAAGTGAAACATAATTTGTTCTTGATTTTTGAAAACGTTATATAGTAGTCTCCTGATTGAAAACTCTTTTCAAATAGTGAATACAATTCCTTAATTTGAGGATCCTCTGTACCCCTGAGATGTAATTAAATGAAATAAAGAATACTTCTTATATTTAAACTACACTTAGCATTAAACAATTTAAATCCAAATGGAAATGTTTAAACTACTGTGGGTATTTACACCATGTAAAATTAGGCAGAATGGAGTAGAATAGTTCGATGACTATATTGTCCTAATAATTTCTTACTTTTAATTCGCAAATAGAAACAATATTTCCTACACATTACAATCTGTCTCGAAAGTTTCAATTTCCCCTCAGCTGTATTGTTGCCCCCATCGTCGTGCGGGGGGGGGGGGGCAATAGCCCTCCCAATTCTGGGACAAATTAAAATAAACTACATTTTGCGGGTCTTCAAATTTATATTAGAAAATATTTAATTTTCTGTATTCTGAGAACAAGATAATCACTATACAGTATTAGAGTAACTGTGTTTGTTCGTGAGTGCGTGTGTGCGGTTCCGTTCTCTCGCGATTAGATCACTTACCGTGCACTAATCGATACGAATTAGGCGTCATTCGATGCATCTGGGTCTCCTGGTGGGGAACTAATAATTCGTTTTCGGATACGGCCAGTAGATTCTAAGAATTTTTCAAAAATGTTTTAGTGCTGTCATCTTAGTGATTATGCCGGGAATTAAATCAACGTCACTCAAATAGATCTATGTATGTATGTTGAATGCAACAAGTAAATCGCCGCGCGAAAGATTTCATTTAATTTGCAACCGTATTGTATTATTTAACATACATTTGCCAAGACCTATGAAAAGTATTCTTGGAACTTATTGAACTTGAAGGACTTCAGGTAAATACGTATAAAGCCACACTCTGAGTACTGCTATAGAAGCTTATTTACGTTCTTACATTCGATTTCTCAGATTTACATTCCTAAGCGTGCAAATACCGATTTTCAGATGAATATAACAACTTATTATTAAAACGTGACTAACACCTCATTCACATAAACATACAAAACAATCACCGTTTAATGTTTATATAGATTCGTCTACAAAACGATAAATAGAGCAATTGAAGAAGTAGAAGTGAACAATTAGAGTAACTGTTGAGTTTTAATCTCTCCAAAAATTTGGGGGCGAGAATATGGAAGTGTTATGAAAATACGGGGAAGAATAAAACGGAGTTTTAGATTTTGCAACAGAATTTTCGGAACTAATTGAGAATGATCTTATTAAAAAATAACCCTGATGAGCAGCTAATTTTTTTTGTAGTTTTGTGGATATTAGCAAAAAACGTAAAAATGTACCTGTACTAAATTCTAAACTTTCAACTCTCATTCGTACCTGCAAGTATTTTTACGGCATTTATAAGTTTGAAATTGCAATATTGTAAGTTCATATCTCCTATAGAGATAACATTCAAGGCCATTGGGAGTTGGGAATTTTTGAAGAGGTGTAAAACTGTATTAGCTACTACGATTCATTGGTACGTCCAATGCTAGAGACTGTAAGAACTTCTTTAAACAAAGCTATGGATGATATAAATTTTCAATACATGAAAATACTTTTAAAACAGTTTAGAGAGTCGGCGACGCCACCCGCAACTAATCTCTACACACTATTTGCGTATCTGCGAGTATGCGTGTGTGCGGATCCGTCACTCACGATTAGACCACTTCCCATACATCAACCGAAATGAAAGATGTATCACTCGGCGCGCCTCTGTCTCCTGGTAAGGAACTGATAGTTTGTTTTTGGATCCGGCCAGAAGATTCTAAGAAATTTTCAAATACCTGGTTTGTGGCAAAGTTATCAAATTTCAAGCATTTAAAGTGAACACGGAGAAAACCATAGTAATGCTACAAAATGAAAGCACCTTTAATATATTACGTTTAACTTATCACAGTTACGTTCTTAAGCGTGCAAATAACGATTTTCAAATGGCTGTGGCTAACAACTTATTCTTATTGAACTTAACACCTTATTCATCACATTACCATAAAAAAGTCGTATTTTACTGTTTATATATGTTCACCTACAAAAGCATTAATAGAGAAATTGCAGAAGTAAATTTAATGCAAATTAATTGAGTTTGTGGAGTTATCGTTTCAAAAATATGGGGAAAAAACTATAGAAGTGAAAAGCAAAACCGAGGAAGAATTACATGTAGTTGTAGATTTTGGAACAGAATTTTCGGAACTAATTTAAAATGATCTTATTGCAGAAAAACGCTGAAGAACAGCTTACGGGTTTTATGCGGATTTTTGTGTATATTTAGCAAAAAGTGTAAAAAATGGTAGCTATACTAAATTCTAACTATTCGCACCATCCACACCTACCATTCCCTATATTGAGTATAATAGACTGAAATCTTATTTTATTGTAATGTATCATATTCTTTATTCCCTAGCGTTTGTAATATTTTGAATGCCAAAAAATAGGTGCTTCTTTAGAAACGTACGGATTCAAAAATGTAATCGAGTGAGTAACTTTTCTGTGATCTGGCAGTTCTAACGTGAACGTAGTGTGTTAGAGACCCAAAAACTGTGTTTACAATTTTTTCAAAAAGAGCAAATATTCGAATGACGTTGAGTAAATCTCTTTATTATATTATATTATATTTTGTAAGTATATTTTTCAATTATATGGTAAGATGTACTGTAACTAATGCATGATGTTTAATGCCAAATGTACACTGAGAATAAAGCGAACCTGTTTTCGCCGCTGAATATTTTGTTATATTCTACAATTTCACTTTTTCAATTACAAAAGCGAATCTGTTGTTTTTAATCATAATGTCGGTACCATCATTATTTTTTGGACAACAGAATAACTTCCATTACAAGTATACAATAAACTCACAAATAAATGTACAGAACTGTTGCTACTATTTATAAAGTGCATATCATTTAAAAGGGTAAAAATGGTTTTTATTTTTTAACATTCGCTTAACATTTAACATTCACATAACATTTCATCAATCGAAAAAATCACGTTTTGTGTTTTAAGAACTTTTGAAATTTTTTCAATCTGGTTCCAGGTTTCTAGGACAGTAATTGTTTTTTAAAAACCCTTGGAGTTTGAACTTAGTGGTGAGAAAATACCAAAAAATGTTTTTCTGATAGTATAAAATATTTATTTTGCATACTTTTTCAATCTGGTAAAATAGGGTTAAGTTGACGAAAGAATTAAGATTTTAAAACACTTTTTCTGGCTTTGGAGGGGTGTGGGTCGGGGGGACGGAGGCTAAAAAATCTTTCAAAAATATTATTTTTGTTAGAATTATAGTGTAACAACTCATATGCCACTTGGTTTAGGGGAACTTATTGCCATCTTATGCGGGGACCTTTTGCCCCCCCCCCCAATTTAAAAAGAAGTTTTATGGACTGTAGTAAGTGGGTACTTTTTTATGGCTGATGAAATTAACAAAAAATCAAACATTTTAATACGTCTGTTATTTATTTTATAAAATATTTTATTATTACAATTCCAAATGAAAATACATTAATATTATTATAATGTTATTAAATTAAATGTTATTAATATAATTAAAATCGTACATAAAATCAAAACTATTCATTTACAATATGATACAAAGAACCGAAGTTCTACCCTACCTAAAAAAAAATCTTATTTGCAATGAGATTTTTCAAGTTGGTATGATTAA